CACTTGCGAAAAGAATAATATGCAGCCTTAGAACAAACACAAGTTTAAAAACGACATCATGTTTCACACTGTTCAGCTGATCATCAGTGGGTGACAGTTTTGTTAAGAGTGCAACAATGCGGCAGAAAAGCTAGGGAAGCAGACGACAAGCTAGCAAGCATAAACGATTTTAAACATTCAAGAAATTGGCTTTGCAGATGTTTTATGAGAAAGGAAATGCGATCAACATGGTTTGGTAAACCCTAATAGTACATACAATTCACTTTGGTCGGAAACACTGAATGTAAACATGGTACATTTGACGAACAGACCTAAATGTCCAACAGAAAATCAATGTTTGAATATTTCCCAGGTGTCAAATAAAAACATCTAAACCATGCACATAATGAGTTAGAGGAGGATTTCCCTCCATTTGCACTGGTCGATTAATCTACATATTAAAAAGAGATTAAGTGGTTACAAAAGAACAGATGTAGGAGTTTGGGACTAAGTCTATTGCTGACTCAATTGCTTTCATTTGGGAACCATTACAGGCCACACACAAACTTAATTGCTACTAACCATAAACCATAGAAACCAAGTGAAAGTAGGGCATCAGAAAATACCAGGGGCACATCTGGCATCCAGTGGAAAACTCTAAAGATGAGAGGATAAATAAGTGAAAGAGAGAAATTCTGTACAGCAATGTTTTGGTCGTGACCTAAAATGAGATCCCAACACGTTTGCTTTAACCAGATCTGGACCCATTAGATGAAGCTGTGTTTATTTAATGATGGTTCTCAGACTGTTAAACATTAAGACTCACAGATTAGTGGTTGGTGTAAAAAGAAGCCCGACTGTAAGTAAGAAAATTAGGCGAAGTAGGAAAAACGAAGAGTGTGTGAGACTATAAAACAAAGCCAAACAATACAGTGATGTACTCTAAAGAGGGAAAAATAACCTTTTATAAAAACATCTCTTACCACTGGAAGTCAGGTTTTTGTGGCAGGAAAAGAGAAACAGATAGAGTGCCTGACTGGCAGGCGGTTCGATGTTCAGGGTAAATGCAAAGGCTTGACTCAGCATCACAGACTACAAGTCCGTTCCCCTGACAACCCATCAACAAACAACAGAGAGCAGCCAGGAGTCTGTCGGGGTTTCCTGCCTTGATCCCAATGTGACATCTTACCCTTCTGTCTGTTTATCATTCCCTCCCTCCATTAATCCCTCTGTCTCTTATGCCTTCTCCCGGGGGTTTGAACGATGACTCTCATAACAGATTAGAAATCACCTGTTGTACATTCGATCTTTGGGATACAAAAAGATAAATCCTCTTTGGGTCTTACATCATTTTATCATGTTATCCTTTTTAGGTCCTTAATGGACACACAAGATGAAGGAGGATTTGATTAGCTTGTTCCATCCATGTAGCTTCCGTACAGCCTCCCATCCTTCTGCTTTTCTACTCTTAACTCACAGCTAAATCTGTGATACAAATCAGCTGTAAGGGAACTCACAACAAGGTTGATGGAGGTAGCCCGGCAAGTTCAACAAGTTGGAGAACGAAAGCATAACATAAAAAGAACAAGATGTAACTCAAGAGTTCAAGATGTGCTCTAATTCCCTGTATTACAGTAGAAGTGCCCGTTAGCACGGCTCTGAATCCCTATCGGCTGCAGGTTACTCATTAAGTGTATCAAAAATTAGACAAGCATGGTCAGCAAAATGCTAATTCAATAAAGGTTATATTAGATAATTAAACATACCTCAACAGCACAACCACCGCCAAGAATCTATTAGCGTAGCTTTCTCTTCATAAAGAGCTGCACACACAGCATGCCACCATTCTTTGTAATTAATGTATACACTTTTATAACAAAAAATAAGGGTTGAATGCCAGCATGTTGCCCTTTTATGACTTATTCCTCTCCTTTCCATTCAAACTTATTAAAGAGACTCACAAAAATCAGCCATTCGCAGCTTCCAAAAAATAAATACAGTAAGAGGGAAAGAGACTCCTTTGCAGTTACCTCTTTCAATTGATATATAACAAATAGATATACTTTATCTGCACTATACTTCTCCTGTTGGAATAATGTACATTTCCCTGTTGCGGGACGAAGAGAGGGATTCTGATTTCTGAAGAGCTAGAAAACAATGACTGCAAAATGACAAACCAAGTCTAAATGTTAATGTGATTATATGTCCCTCCCTCTCACTGCAGATACCCCTCTGGACTGCGAGGTGTCAGTGTGGTCTCCATGGGGTTTGTGCAAAAGCAAGTGTGGAGACTCGGGCGTGCGGCACCGCACACGCTATGTCATAATGCACCCAGCCAACAACGGATTAGCCTGCCCCCTGCTGGAGGAAGAGGGAAAGTGCTTCCCCGACCACTGTTTATGACTAAGCCAAGAAAGGAAGGAGAAGAAGGAGAGGAAGGAGAGAAGAGAGAAGAAAGAGAGAAAAGAGAGAAAAGGGAGGAAAGGAAGGAAAGGAAGGAAAGGAAGAAGACGGAGAAACAACAACAAAAGGGCTGTACTATATTCACTTGAGGCTTAAATACGATGTAGAAGGCTCATTTATTTCCTCCCTGGCTTTGCCTTCTGTCTGTGGAAATGACTAATGTAATTATTGACTGTTAAACAGCAGAACAAGTATCTTCCTGAAGTCACATTGATATATCTGACAGCACTAGAGAGGTGTAGTTTGGCAAAATAGCTATTAGACACCAATTCTGTTTTGGCAGATTATACAATTTGACAGGGAATAGCACAATGCTGTTTCAGCCATTCACCAAAAACATTATCATTTGGTTCATTTGAAATCTCTGAAGCTCATAGAAATGTGTTTGCCAACATTGGATTATAAACCCCAGGAGCTTCCAAAAAGCAGATGTTGAAATAAATTCATATTAATAATTCTTAAGATCTGAAACGCTATATCCAAAACAATACTGAACAGAACATTTGAATAAACTCAGGCACAAATTATTTCTTATGACCATTAGCATTGATGTAGTGATGGCAACAAAATGAGTCAGACATTGACATTTATGTACCGTCCTCCCCACATTCAAAACACCATTTTTAAAGAGAGATTATGTTTGTTTGCCTGAAGACAAAGAATATATTTATTACAGGATTTTAACCTGTAGTGTACAGTATATCAAGTCTGAATCTATAAGTTGTATTCCTCTATGTTATTGAGATATAAATCCATTGCTTTTGTAAAAAATGCAAAAAAATGTACCAAAAAAACATGTTTTCTGTATGATCAATAAAGTGTAAATACATCAAGATATTGTGATCTCATTACGGTTTCTTCAAGAAAGCGACAGATACTTCATCGTGTACAGAGTCGTATCTATAATCACAATAACACTTGTGAGTTTAATAATTCTTTAGTGCCCTTTGCTCAGTGCACTGTTTGACCTTTACATCTGAATCACACATTTGGGCTCCCAGGGCAATATTACTCACACTGTGGCTGCAGGATCAAATTGAATCTAGTGAGAAATACTATTAACTGGAGAACCGGAGTTGAAGCCTGATGTTGGCTAGGATTCACCCTGATGAAGTGTTGGTCATAAAACTGATTCATGCGCTCAACTATTTAAAACAGTTCACCAAATGTTGATTTAGCCCACAAGGTCTGAAATCTCACACAGCACACTTCAAGCTGTGACGTCCAGTGCAAAACATCCCACTCTAAAGCAGGAGTTACATTTAATAGGCAGAACAGACAGCAGCTACACTTGAAGGGACCTCTTTTTTCAGAGGAGGTTTCTTGGCAGGATGACGACAACACAATTTGAAACGGATAGAAAGTTTGCTTCTTTAGTGAACAGCAGTAGTAAGAACATCTGGTGCAGGAGGAAGCTCCTTCCGGTTTGAATGACAAGGGACAAGAAAATGACTGAGACAGAAAGTCAGAGAGATGTAAGTGTAAAGTAAATGCTAAGTATCTGGTACTATGATCAATATTACATTATACTAAATAGTTTTGCCACAGTGTGTTTTTCAAATGTTTCCAAAGTCAATTCTGTACATATTTATATTCTGAAAATGTTTTTAAAATGACAGAAATAAACTATTTCAGTGGCAGGGATATTAAACAAATTGATTAAAGAGGCCCTATTATGCCTTTTGTGGTTGTCCCTTTCCTGTAGTGTGATATAGAGGTTTTTGTGCATGTAAATTGTCTGCAAAGGCTAAAATCCACACACACACACACACACACACACACACACACACACACACACACACACTCACCCCCCCTCCCCCTCCTGCCTGAAACACCTCCATTGGACTCCTTTGTTTACTTCCGTAGCATAGTGACATTACTATGTAACACTTGCTCTTCTATTGGCTTGCGCTCCAACACATTTGACCTGATAGGCTAAGGGAAGGGACATCTCTCAGTCGTTGACCAATCAGAAAAGAGCAAGCCAGCTAGCCAATCAGAGCAGACTGGGCTCTGGTTTCAGACAGAGGGTGAAAAGAGGTGCTGCAGCACAGCCAGTATGAGAACAATAAAGAGCTTTTTGAACATTAAAGCATGTTAACATGTCACAGTAGAGGCACACAATACACATATGAACCTAAACGAGCATGATAGGGCCCCTTCAAGTATTCATCCAACGTATAACAAAAAAAGTGTGGAAGGAGAAGAACATCTGATTCTTTGCTGACTAAGTAGAAACAACTTTTGCAGATGCTAAATATGAGATGATTTATTTTGTGTGTGTGGGGGGGTTTGGGTTGGTTTACTTTATCCTATAAGTGACCTCGTCTAGGGTTGGTTTATGGCACTACTGTATGTTATGGTTTGGCTTTCAATTTGAAACAACGTTTGAACTCTGTTTAATACTGTATATAACCCACACTGTGACAGTGGTAATCTTTCAATCTTAAAAAGGTGAACACCATGTCTAAAAAAAATGCAAGAATCAGTAGGCCAGATGCATTTGTCCAATTTTTCAAGGTTTGCCATAAATCACTGTACTACAGTACAGTTTGCTAATATATTCTTAATTTTGAAGGACATCTACATCAGATGAACACTTTTCTGAACATGTTACATTTCTTGCATCTTTCTGTAGCTAGTGAGTTGACCCTTAGGGCAAAGTTCAGCATCTATACATTTTGAGAGAGCAAACACTTGGCCCTCTGTTGGAATTACACTTACAGCAGTATCAGACCAGTCTCCTGCAACATCAACATGTTTAATCCCATGAACCCTAATATTTTACAGTTATATAATAGTTTGAAGATATTTTCGGTATTTTAGCAGTTTAATTCCACAGATTATTTTTTTGTTAATATGTCACAATGTCAACGTCAAATGTCTCTTAAGTTTTGAAGTTGGTTTTGCGATGTTGATTCATGATGCTTTTTCTAAAGCATCAGACTTTAGCAGTGTGCCCACCTTGGTTACAATAAAGTTGACTCTTTCCTTAGATATACTTGAATTAACTGTGGGAGGATTATCTTAGTCTGCAGGAAGTGGTCTGTCCTGTTAATCATTATTCTTAACATCTTTACTATTGGCTCCCAGTTTAACCAGTCACAAATTGACCAGAAGGTCTCGTCACACAAAATAGCACCTGTGAGTTTCTCACAGTCAAACTGTCCCTCTTACCTCCCACTTCAAATATATACTGAAGGACATGTGGGTTTGTCTATAGTCAATGGCAAATACATCTGGAATTAGAATTTGGAGATCTACGAAAAACTGAACCTACATGACAAACATTTGTTCACTGTCCAGTGTATTGTAATTGAATAGCTCATTGTTAGCTGAAAATGAGTTTGAAAGGCATTGGCTTTCTCTTCCAGTGTTACCTGGTGTTGGCAGCCGCCATGTATTTTGATCTCGGAGAGCAGGAGCAAAAGTGCATCATCGAGGAGATTCCTGAAGACATGCTCGTCACCGGTGAGTCCTGGAGAGGGAATATTCCTCCTGAGTGTCGTTTACAATCAAATACAGGGAATCAATGTGGAATAAGGTTTGGAAAACTGTATGTTGAATTGCCACGTGACACAGTTCAATCACAAATTCATGTTATGTGTACCTCCATGATGGTGTGTCTCTTATTTCAGCAAGTGTAAAAGCCATTTGTGTAGTAAAGTGGAGTCTTTGTAAAAACTGATTTATCTGTTAAACATAAAATTACCAGGAAAATCTTAGTATTTTTATTTATCGTAAACGTAACTAATTGTACTAAAAAGAGGAAAAAGTACTAACAATCAGTCCTACAGTGAGAGACATAAAAGTAATAGTTACACATTCAATCATTTTTTTGTAAATCAAATATAAATGTAACTTGTATTCCCTCTCCATGCTTAACATAAGCATCGCAAAATCAAAAACATAGAGGACAAGGTCATAATTACGTTTTTGAGGCTACTGTGTGTGATTGTGAACTTAAATGCACTCATGTAGACTGTGTTTTACCTTCAGGGTATTTCTTGTTGGAGCCGTGGGAGATGAATGCCCTCTCCCACTCCCCTCACCCTCGGCGTCACTGTGACAGTCAGAGACCCAAACCATGAGGTACTGCACTCACAGGAGAAAGGAATCACCAAGTCAAACATTCGCTGTGATGGTTCATTAACACATGTGCCTATAACTGGTTTCCCCTTTCAGAGCAAACCCAAACAAGAATAAAATATGAGTCACTAACATACACACACACAACTATAATTCATCTTGTTGACAGTGTAGAAAGAAGTATTCATATAATTTACTTAGTAATGTATACCAAACTGTAAAAGTCCTGCAAATCTTATTAAGAACAAGACTTCAAATTCACCTGTTTATTTTCCACTGCAGATTTTTGCTCACTCACGTGGAAAAAATAAAATAAATCTTTACTTTCATTTCTGATTCAGCTTTTTGGAAATGTTTGAAATGAGAATAAATCCCATGTTCATTTTGTCAATGCACAGCTAAAGAAATGTTGGCCTAACAGTGTCTCTCCGGCTCTCTAGGTTCTGATGTCAAAACGCTATGGTAAATTTTCTAAATTCACCTTCACATCGCACGCCTCTGGTCAGCACTACCTTTGCTTCCAGACCAACTCCACAAAGTTTTCTGTATTTGCTGGAGAAAGACTGGTGAGACCTGTGGACACAAACAGAAAATGAATTATTAAACAATGGGGAGAAAAGCAACAAAACATATTGTAATATTATTATATTGAACAATAACCCATTTTCCTTCATCATGCTGAGCAGAAGCTACATTTGGACGTTCAGATGGGAGAGCACTCGATAGACCCCGTCCCTGACAAGACCAAAGACAACATGAAGAATCTGGAGAACAGCCTCCGACACCTCGTAGATCAGATGATATTCATCACCAGGCAGCAGGAGTACCAGAGGGTATAAACACATTTTACTGTGCAAATTAAAAAAATGTTTCTGGAAAAGAGTGTTTTATATAATGTTCTCCCTCTCAGGAGAAAGAGGAGGTGTTTCGTCAGATTGGTGAGAACACCAACAGCAAAGTGCTGTGGTGGGCCATGGTGCAGACCTCTGTGCTGCTGACGGTTGGTTTCTGGCAGATGAAACGACTCAAAGATTTCTTCATCGCCAAGAAGCTCGTCTGATGATGACCTCTGACTGCAAAAACCTTCAAGTGTATAGGGTGCATACTGAATGCCTATTACACAAACACTCTTCTCTTTCTGCCAATTGCTGATATTTAGGATTCAAAACTATGTATGGCAAGAATAATTAAAGTGTAAAGATGTTGGACAGTCAAATAAAATCCACCAACACTCATTTGAATGTCGTTAAATTAAGTACAAATTATTGTTTTGTCTCATTCTGTTCATCAACTCTGTCACCCTTAAAACTGGATTACATTAGGCAAGAGTTTACTGTATACTGTTTGGGGGTTCAAACCAATACAACTGTTTGTATATATATATATATATATATATATATATATATATATTGAAATATTAAGCTAATTGAGAAAAGTTTTCAAGTAGTTTCAACACTTCATCTAACCGAGATTAAGCTAGTATCACTGTATAGGCCTATTGGTATATGGATATGTGCATTAGCTAGCTAGTTACGTTGTATAACTAAAGAATATTAGATTATTCCGTTTTTATCATTATCATTAATAATAAACGTTTTTTGACCCTGTAATTCGTTAATATGGTGCACATTTTGGAAAGTAGGCCTACTGAGTAAAATAGTAGTGCATATCTATCATATAATCACATGCATGTATGTTAAAATTAAGTGTCAACTCAATGTTGTGCAGTAAAAGTACAAAATATCCCTTTGAAATCTAGTGTAGAAGTACAAAGTAGCAGAAAATACCCCAGAATTATACTTAATTAATTATATAACTGAGTGAATATTCTCTCAGTTACATTCTAATTAAATATTTAGAACTGAACAAAAATTATGAGTTTATGTTGGATATGTTTACATTGAATATTTAGGCACAAATGCAATAAACATAACCTTTAGTGAATGACTTACCTTATGTTTAAATATTAAGTCAGTTGTGAAAACGTTTTATAAAATGTTTCAATACTTCGTCTAACCGAGATTAAGCTAGAATGTCGTCATTATCTAGCTAGTTAATTTATAGCATTAGCCTAGAGATGATAACACGTTATTATTCGTGGTTAGTTAGCGTAAAAACTGACGTTAGGTGCCAGTTGTTAACGTTAAATAAGTAAATATTTGATATAGCTAAACTGACAATCATTACAGATCGTTAGTCAACAGACACGTTTCTGTACTGTAGAACATTTTTTAAAAGCAGCTCATGACGTCACTCTTTAGAACGTTGATCAGTTATTTATGCTAGCTAGCTAACGATATTAGCATTTAGCTTCATTTGCAGCGGGGTATCGTCGGTAAGGTAATTAATTTACATGTACATGCGTTACTCTAAAAACGTTTTACAAAGTTGTCTTGAACATACACGAAAGCCAGAACACATTTTAAAGTAGTAATTGGAGCTTTGAGCTTCACCTCGCAAAATTAGCTAATGCTATGTAAACACACTAATGACTAACATAAATGACTTAACAAGATGAGTCAGCTTAATTAAACGCTAACCTCATTTTATTTTTTTGTTGCAGGTTTTCAAATGTCTTACTGGACCTGCTGCAACTCCTGCTTCCTTTGCCCCAGTGCTGACAGAAAACTGGCTGTCACCTCCTGTGGACATATCATCTGCAATGTCTGTCATCAGAAAGGTAGAAAACAACTTAACGATACTAACTTTACGACAGTCAAAACAATCGCTGACGGGGAAGTTTAGCTTCACTTCAGTTGTACCAGACAGGATAAAGTGATCAAACAGGGACATCTGTTGGAATCTATGGGATATTGCATAGCTGAAGACTGAGTTTTACACCATGTGTATTCAAGATTGGAGCTGAACTATTTAACATTTGAGCGGATAGGAGACAAACGAGTCCCCCAGTAAATAAACTCTTCCTTAGAAATACAAATGTGATGCCAAAGTTGGTTTGATAATAATCTGCTCTATTGTTATCAAGCAGCAGATGAAAGGAAATATTTGATCTAGTGAAGCTCTTTGTTAAGGGTATAATTACACAATTTGACATTGAAAAGAGGATAAGGGCATGGAAGTATTACTCAACTGGCCTACCTAGTGTCAGCCCCCTGGCTTTCACTTACAAATGTTACTTAAAGACACATGTATCAATCAGGAATAGACTCATAAGTGACATAGTACGACTGCAAGAGACTAAAAATGACTAAAAATAGACCAAAACAACAGCTAAGGGACACAAAACAATTGCATAATACTCTAAATGACCACAAAGACACATACAATGACCACAATTAAAACACTGTATGACTACAAAGAGACACAAAACAACAATACGTCCACTCAAAATGACCACAGAGGGACGAAGGAACACAGATGCGTAACATAATCTGACCATGGGTGCTTCTCGTCATATCCTCAAAAGAAGTAAGAGGTAAATTACACCAATCATCATTGGATATTGGATTTCTTGAAGTAATCTCCTGGAAGTCTCTCAGTCCCACTTTAGGAAAGCCGATCATATTCACAAGCCATGGGTCTGTTCCCGATGGGTGTAATCTAAGTCAAACTGTCAAGAGTTTGATTATATTTGAATTCGCTCTGGCTTCCAGGGTTAAACCCAGGGGTTACACTTAATTAGTTTTGGGTCTCAGGGGTAAGCACTTTGAGAGCCCCTTTTTGTTCAGTTCCTAAATTAGATTTAGAGAATCCTCTATTTACTATAAGCGTAGAAAGGATATGCATTTTGTATTGTTGTCCATCTTTAATTGAAACCTTTCTTTCAGGAAAACCAGGCATGTGTTTAATATGCAACGCCAAATGCCAAGTATCACCTCTCACCGACAAAGTAAGCATATTTATTCCCATTGAATCCTTTATGTGACTATCTGAGTGGGATAAAAGCACACTAATATCAGACTGATATAATTATATTACATTCTATTTTTGTTACATTCCTTTGAAATGTCTTTGTTTCAGAGCAGCTCAGAAGTGAAGGCCCTGTTCACCGACATCAACGTTGTGGCAACAAAAAACTTCACAGAAATCAGCAAAGTTTGGTCATTTTCGATCTTATCATCAAATATAAAAATCTTGTTAATTGTTGTTATATCAATTCGGGATGAAAGTCTGTCAGTTGGAGTTAATATGTGATATTTGTATTTGTACATGATCTATCAGTATAGAAATAACAGTGACGTTATTTCCCTTTTCTCAGGTTTTAATGTTCCAGGCAAAACACCAAAAGAGACTGTTGTCTTACTACCAGCAGAGGGTGAGAGACATCTGTTCCTGCTGTGCGTGTGTGTGTGTGTGTGTGTGTTTAATTTTGTTCATCTGGCATGTAATGGACTATGTTGTCTAATAATTGTGAAATGTCTGCTTTTTGACATAATATTTTTTTCATTGTTTGTTACCATGTAGAAAGTTTGATTTAATTGATTTCCTGTTCTATTCGCTGCCCACTAAATGTAATACTATAGTAATAATTAACACCGTTTATATTACAAGATAGTCACCAAAGATGCCCTACTGTGTCCCCATCCAATTGATCAATTATTACAGGATGAGAAACTAGAGGAGGTACTAGTCAAGATGAAGCAAGAAATGCAGCAGATGGCAAAGTAAGTGGAAGCACAAGTTAATAATGCCTTTTCAAACCTATTTCTCAACTGCAGTAAATACAAAAAGTTGGGTGCCTCTCCTATTTTGTTTGATTTTCTTTCATTTGAAGGAAGCTGAATGACCAGAGCGCCTACATCACTAAGCTGGAACACGCTCTTCGTCATCAGAGGTAAAGCATAGAGGAGATATTCATTTAAAAATCACTTTCATTATTAAACACCAATACGTCATTTTTATTGAAAATTGTTTATGTGTTGCAATTGTATGATTTGTTCAAGATTTGAGCTCTTAAAATGCTATGTGGTGCAGTTTCTCTCTTATTTCACAGCCACAATGCTAATTAGCAGTCTTTTCCACCAATCAAGCCATCTTGAAAAATGCTTTGCTAAAAAGCATCTGGCTAATGTTTCTTTTTAATGTCTTCTTTCACATGTCGCACTGCATCAGAGATGAAATTGCTCATGTAATGAGACTCAATAAGGATCTATTAAGGTAGTGAAACCTGGTTTGGAATTTAACAGCCTGTTTGAGTTTGGCAACACATAAAGTTATGAACAACCAGCTGGCTGTTATTCCTCTCCTCTCACTAGGTGTCACTCCTGGCACATCTACCACAGCGTACAACCATCACCAACACTGAATTAGTTTAAACAGAGAGACTTTGTTTTTGAAAAAGGCCAGAAAATATAGAAAACTAGTAATTAAGTGAAAATGTTGTTAATTGATATGCATCTGAAAACTGTTGTAACAAATGTTATAGCATACATTGTTAGAATGTGCAGCATTGAGTTTTAAAGTACCAGTGCTGGAGCGTATTTATATTTTAAATGTTTATTGTTTTTCTTACTCAGTGCCAAAGTGTCTTCAGTGCCTCAGATGAGCCACAGCTTGCATACTCCACATGGACATAAATCAGGTAAACAACAATCCCATGGTATACAATGGTGTCACTTTTGTTTTCTTGTATTGGTCTTTATGCAAGACATCACCTCTTAGTATGGCACTCTGATGTAAACACCCTGAACTGCCATTTACATTTGAATATATTTGTATCATAATATGCAATCATTATACTGTACCTATGTATCATACCTGTTCATGAGGGGCTGCTTATATTTCTTTCACTCTGCATTGTTGCCGTCTTCAGTGCAGGAATATTAGCTGAAGTTGAAAATAATGAAGATCATTTATTCATAATATACTATATTATATTTCACTTTATTATGACTAATAACTAGAGTCCAAGAAAGGGTGGGAGTCTGACTTGTGTGACTGTTGCTCAGACTGAGAGAAAGGTTTGATATAACTCAATACATTGGAAATAAAAAGCGTTTGAAGTATCATATGAAAGACAAGCAATGTAAATTGGCCCTAATGTTGCTTTTTTTACTTGTGATTATTACTCCAACCAAAGGCTGTAAAAACATTTAAACCATATTTCAGCATTAGGAAAAACAAATTGTTTTTTAAGCCTGACCAATCAAGATTACAAGTAATAAAATGCAGAGTCAAGCAGAATCGGCTTGTGGCTAAAAAAGGCAAATTAGACTAACAATGTCTTTGTGGGCTTATCATTGAAACATCTATTTACATTGTATTCCCTGCATGACCACCAATGTCTCATCACCATTAATAATGTTTTGTGAGTTAATGTTGTTTGTATTGTCTGTCAGTGTCAGTCCTACAGATCCCATATCACTCCCCCATGTCCATCTCTAGACACTCCTCAATGAATACCATGTGAGTATCCTCCCTCCATAACTTTTCACTCTGTATTTAAATATTTATTTTATGTTGATTTCGCACACCTCTCACCTCATCTCAGTCTGTGTTTCTCTGCCTTTCTTTCTCTCTCACCATAAGAGCGCGACAGAGAGAATGGAGGAGGTATTTCACAGTGCAAACAGGCTATATCCTGAGTTCAGCCCCGGTGTCTTATGTTAGCTTTAGCTGCTGTATAGCTGTGCCCTGCCCTGTGGTTATCTACACACACACACACACACACACACACACACCTGAATAAGCTAAGCTTTGTTTGGGTTTAGTCAGGATTCCCTATTGGGTATCCTTCCACACCGTTGACACAGGATTGATTGTCTGCCGGCGTTTAATAGTACAAATGTTTTTTTATTCACTGAGACTTTAGATTCTTCTACTGAGCAAACAGATGATGGACGGCAGATATTAACCCCAGCTGCAGAATTACCGCCATGCCTGAGGGCTCCATTTAGTTTGGAACTTAAAAGTAAATCGATGCTAATATAGCTAAATTAATTTGTAACATAAAATGCTAGGGATATTGATATTCTTGATATTTTTGCTGTTTTTGCTCAAGTTTTCTACAAATATATATACCATGTTTTCAGTCAAATAATCAACTGATTTCAAGAAATTGCTATTGAAATGATGCATTATTATGATTATGCATCGTAAAAACCACTGTAACAACATTGAATTATCTCACTAGTTATTTCTTTTTTAATGATCATCTTACTCTATGTACTCTATGTATTCACAAAAGGTATCTTCGGTAATTATTCTGTATTCTTGTTCTTGAAAATATTTTTCCAAAACGTTAATATCTGTCTTGGGAATAAAACTATACATGTCGGGGTTAAAGAGACGTTGTTATTGAAAAGAAGTTGAAGCAGTGGTCAGCCCACTGAACCCAACAGGACTAATGAAGCGTGCTCTCATGTCTCACAGCTCTGAAAACATGGACGTGGATGAAAGGAGTCTGTTCAGGAAAGTAAGTGCTATTATTCTTCCTGTAGTGAGCTTCCATTTTTAATATACAGTGTGTGTAATGTAACATTGATTATCCATATGATACAGCATCTGAACATTTACTCCATGACTCTAGTACAAAAATATTATTTCTTTTGAATAACAGGTAGATACAAAGGTATGATTTGTGAAGTTTCTCTGTGTCTCTGTCTCTCAGCCCAGCACCGTCCCCAGACTGTCGTTAATCAGCCCTCCACAGGACGGGCGAATGGGTAAGTGCTCCGCTGCGCCTCATTAAACTGATTCATGTTGAATTTA